ATGTGCCTGAGTTCGCAAGTCCAATAATAGCTTGGAAATAGAAGCCATCTGAAAATGTTCCTAAACTCGAGCTGGCCTGGCAAGGTTTGCATGCGCTTATAAACAGCAAGTGAGAGGGGAATGTTCCTGCAAGGGAAAATCGAATCCATAGGAGTGTCAAACAACTCCACTCAAACTGAGAATATTAAAATAGTATATTCTGGGCAATTATTAAATACTAAAAGAAACACAGTTATCTTAAAGTCCTACTTTTAAATTAAAAATTAAAATTGCCACAACTGGTATCCTAAGGTCTACATCCCCTTGGGTTATTACCTTACCTGTACCACAGATGCCAGGTCTTTTTTTAATGATTCCTATTTAAAACTTGTATTTAGACTTAACACGAGGACTTGGTAGTTATCCAAGCACAATTCCAGATTATACTGCAGGTGCGTGTCCAACCATGGACAGATACGAAAATACGCCTCACTTAAATGTGCTCAGACTCAAGGCATAAACTCGTACTTTAAAATCCATCCGTAGCTTTCTTTCATCAGTGAGATGCCCCCCTCATCGGGCGGGTGCTTTACCTTCCTGTGGGGGGTGACTAGCTGGACACAGGAAGGCACATTTAGGCACTAACTTCTTCCATAAAATACTTTACGTTTTCTGGAATATCCACCTCAATTTCAGGTCACTTTCTTTTTTTTTATTTTAAAAAAAGTTTTAAGATTTTATTCATTTATTTGACAGAGAGACAGACAGACAGAGGGAACACAAGCAGGGGGAGTGGGAGAGGGAGAAGCAGACTTCCTGCTGAGCAGGGAGCCCGATATGGGGCTTGATCCTAGGACCCTGGGATCATGACCCGAGCCAAGAGCAGAAGCTTAACAACTAAGCCACCCAGGCGCCCCTAGGGTCACTTTCTAGAGGAGGCAGCTGAAAGGGAATCCAGACGGTCCAAGTGAGGCAAAAGACAGAAGCATGTACATATGCTACTATCCCAACGGTTCCAACAGGTTTTCTCTTTTAAAAAAGGATTTCCGAGACCGTCTTCATGGCCCACAACAGAACATCATTTTTGCAACCGCAAGTAATGTAATGCAGAGTCATGACGGTTTTCCCCAATTCTTATTCTTAATCCAGAAAGTAAATAAAACCTACATATACCCTCCAGACTCTAATCCTATACTTCAAAAACAACTACCGGCAGAAACTTAACCCTTTGCTCTGCATGGGGCTGGGGTGGGAAGGCGAGCCCGGATCAACTATCCTTCTGAGCGAACGCCCCACAGGGCAAGCTTCTCAAGTGACATCTGAGGAGGACGCCCAATGACCCCCCAGACCCCTTCCTTAGGACCACTTTCAAAACCAAAGGGTATTATTCTAACGAGCTTGGTTTCTATTAAGCAGATTTTTCGTGATTAAGCAGACTGACCTATAAAGCCAGTCAGAGCTGCGAGTTCTGCAACAGGAAGAGGCGTGTTCCGCGGTCAGAGCAAAGACGGACGTGAGTCTGCGGGCGGCTCCTGACCGTGCGCATTTCTGGCTGCGCCAGAAGACTCCCTTCCCACAGTGATGACTCAACTTGTTCCCCAAGCCACGAAGCCCTGGACAGAGATGGTATCAAGGCCTGTATTCTACATCTAGAGTAAATAAAGCTTTAAGAAATATATATATAAGGGGCGCCTGGGTGTCTCAGTGGGTTAAACCTCAGCCTTCAGCTCAGGTCATGGTCTCAGGGTCCTGGGATCAAGCCCCGCATCGGGCTCTCTGCTCAGCGGGGAGCCTGCTTCCCCCTCTCTCTCTGTCTACGTGTGCTTTCTCTGTCAAATAAATAAAATCTTAAAAAAAAAAAAAAAGAAATATATATAAGAATGATCAACAGGATGGCACAGCTTAGAGGCAGCTCAAATCCCAACTTGCTACTTGAGACTGGTAGGACCTCCGAAAAAAAAAAAAAAAAATCACTCCCCGAACCCCCACTGGGGTCTGTGTCCCCATCTGCACACGATACCAACTTCAAGGTGTTACAGTCAAGAGTCAAGTCTGAACGATGCTTGGCACAGTCCCTCATGGCACAGAAAGCATTAGAAAGCTGTTATCAAACTTAACGAGGTTTATCAGGTCATTTCCAAAACCCCTTGGAAGAGAAAGGAACACAGGATCGGGAGGTGGAAGGAAGAGCTGGGATGCACCATGGGACTGGAAGCAGGACGGAGGTGGGAGGCACATGGTGGGGAAGCCTGGGCGGTCCCTGAAAAGGAGACTGGGCCACAGGGCCAGTGTCGCACCTACTCAAACCTCAAGCTTTGTTCCATCCAATCTTTTTTTTGATACTCTTTTCATTTTGTCTAAAAAGAATTTTAACAGTAATATGAAGGTCATCAGGCCCACCAATCTTGACCTTGCTCCTACTATGTATTTTTTATCTCCTAGCACTGTGTACTTAAAGGTCCCGCATCTTGTAGGCAAACTCCCAGAAAAATGTCAAGGCACCCGGAGGGAGGGACCCAACAGGGGCTGTGACCTTGGAATACTGGCTAGGAATCCACACAACCGCCAGCCTTCCTCTTCCCCTCTATCCCCTCTTCTTTCCATAAAGTACACATGCTTTCCTACAGCCCAGGGCTCACGCCTGGTTTCAGAATAGTCCCTTACTCCCCAACTCCCAGGTCACCCCCAACCCCCCGCCCTTCAGGAAAATGGGGCAGAAACACAGCACCTAGTCTTCGGGGAGCACACAAGTGCTTGAGCAATAAGGTGCACACATTCGTCGCCATTTCTCCCACCTCACCTCAGGAAGTCTGCAACTTGCACAGAAATTACCGGGGGCTTTAAACTACAGAAGACCCAGCCCCACCCATGGTCTAAATTAGAAGCTTGGTTGTAAGGCTTTGGAGCTGGGAGCTCAGCACCCCACCCCCCGGGCTGTGGGAGAATCACTGCACAAGAAACACGCCAGTCGCCCAACCAGCGCACCAGCCACTGCCACGTGCCCTGCAGAATCTCTCGGGACAACTCGATCCCCTCTCTGTGCTCTAGAATGAACCCCTCCATGGTGCTTCAGGAGGACAGTCACTGAAAGACGAGATCCTGAAGTGGGTGCAGCAGGGCTGGTGCCATTAGGTAGGAACAGGCCACAGGCCGCCGGGTCTCCAAAACTAGGACAAACGGCAAACCACTTCCTCTAACCACCAGCCCGGTCCTTAAATGTGGCCTTGGTATCCAAGGCAGCCTTTCTCTCGCTCACCTGCAAGGCAATCCATTTTCAAGGATAAGTGCCACTTACACTTCTTTTATGGATATAAGTCAATCCGTCTGAAGGTATGACAGCAAATCAAAATCCACCCAAGTATCAAATGCAGGAAAAGAGCTATCATCTCAGTAGGGTCACTTTAACGTATTACAAGATGGCAGTCCTCCAAATATCCACCTCAAATATGAAGCCAGAGGCATCTTCTTGACTACCCAGCCTTTGGAGAACTGTGACAGAGTGAGGTTTTCAATATTAAGTATAAATAGGAGAGACCACCAAGCAAAGGTAAGTTCCCCAAGGACCGGGATTCTGGTCCACTGACGTAGCCCAGGCACCTGAACGCAGCCCCGACGTATGGCAGGTGCTCGATAGTCTCATGTGATTCTGCACAACATCTTGCTAGAAAGCACCTGAATAAACCAAATTCAAACAGCCAGCCCAGAGAAGGGTTTGTAATCAGAAACAGTGAGAGGTGCTTCAAAAGAGCAGAAACGTAAGGCTTCAATTACTAGCCTTTTGAATTTTTTAAAATGTTTGACTCCATGAAGGGTAGAAGCAACCAGACCAAGGGCAGTTTGTTCCTGGTGGGGTGAGAGTTACTGGACCTCCTGGGGACTCTGCCACTGAGTCAGCGTCCGCACACCTGTTGCGCTCGAGCCCTGCTGTCAGCACCCGGGTCCCAAGGAGCCAGACCTGGCCCTGCTCTTTCAGTCCAGTGACGTAGTCTGCGCATAACCAAACCCGGTAAAAAAAGACCTCCTTCTGGCAGGAAAACACAGAGACTATCTGGCCCATTCCCTGCTAAGCAGATTGGGAACTAATAAGATCCACAAAGTAAAAGAACTTGCCCAAGGTGAAGCCACCCACAGCAGGGACACAGACGGGACCTGTCAGATGCATGAAGGGACGGATGAATAGCGAGCACCTGGGCCACGACGAAAAACCACTTCTCCGTCCCAGCCCAGTGCTCGACCTCACAAGGCACAAGGCCCAACTTGTCAACAGGGCACTGGGTGAGCTGAGCACCCAGTTTAGCACAACATTTAAATCAAGGGATCCTCCTCCACACCTGTCTCCGCCCCCGGGTCTCTATAACGGCAGAGCACCATTAGGCACCATAAGCCAGAGACGGGACCATGGGGCCAAGGGAGGCTAATCACCTCCGGCATCACCACCGTTCCCCCGATGCAGTAACACGCAGGGAAACGGAAGTATGAGAAAAGCAAGTGCTACAGTGGAGGACTTTATGGAACTGCTTATATACAACCGCTTTTAATTTTAAAAAACAAAAAACACAGCAATTCCACATAAGCTTAATACAAACGTTATGACTGGTTTCATTCTTCCGGGGATTCTTAAAACGAAAAGACCCCAAAGTAAACTGTTAACAAGCACAGAGGAAGCGGAGATCCCACACATGATATCCTTTATTTCCCTCTCCACAAAGTAAGTTCGCCACTGTCCCGACTGCGCGTCTACCCACTCGCTGGGATGGAAGCCATGTGACCAACATCTGGTGAAGGCCAAAAAGGACGACTGAAGAGGGGTCGTCTGGGGGGGACCCTACGTGCCGCACTGCCTACCGAGGTATGCGGCCCCTTCCTCTTCCTCCCTCACTGCTCCCAAGGATATACAAAAGCAGTCCTTTCACAAGGGTTTAGAAAGTGTTTTTATTGGTTACAATTATATAAAATTCATCACTTGAACTCCCTCTAGTTATAAAGTGCTTGCTAGCATAAAAACACTTCTTAGGCATCTAACAAGCTCCACTGATCTCTTTCATGCCAGAAGGGGAAGAACACCAAAGGACACGTCTGTCTGTAAGGAACCTCTCTCTGTCTCTCTCTCTCTCTAAAGGCTGTATTGGTGAAAATCAACGGACAACCCCTTTTGTATGTCAAATTGTAAATTTTAATGTTTTCATTAGAATAGTCTTTTATATCACTCTCCAACAAGAAACAATAAAATAACTAACAGCAAACTTCAATACAGGAACACTCTTCAGGTTAACAACTCCAACAAAAATGTAAAACGTAAATCACATATAGTACAATTGAAGTGTCCAAAACAATTTAAATAATTTTAAATATTTTATTTTTAAACTGCTACAAATGCTTTGTACATTTCAACATAAAGTCCCCATAACAGAAACGTAACAAAACGGGAATGGTTGCGAAAGGGTTAAAGTGGCACAAATTCACCAAACAAGCATCGAACTACACATTTTCAGAGGTAGATTACTTTTAAAGTTGAGAACAAAAAACAACATGAATAAAAAACCAAGCCATTTTCCACCAACTCAGTCATCAATTAAGGGGAAGGCATAGAACGCAGAGAGAAGTAACACTTACATCCACTCAGGACAAGGCCAGTTTGGGGGCTTTTTGCTCTCTTTTAGAGATGGAAGTGTAAAACCTGGCATGTAAGTTCACTTATACTTACGTGTGCACATACATCTGTAGAGGCCTACGGTGCATCCTGGCTGTAGATATATTGCTACATAGTCTCCGATAATAGCTATAAATTAGCGCCAGATAATCATCGGAGAGGATAACGTCCATCTGGATATATGAACATGACAGTGGAAGAAGCATTTTTAAAAAAAAGTCCATATCCAATCTGGTTTCCTCTCCATTATGCTGGCAATCTTCTTGCGATATATATTTAAAAAACAAAAACAAACAGAACCAATAAGCTGAGAGAAGCTAAACGCCTCTCTGTATAGAACTCACTTAAAAGAAAGTCATCAAGAGCTGGTGTGTGACCAAGACATTTTAGAGCGCACGCGTCAGAATTTGCCATCCCTGAAATCGACAGAGAACTAATCATAAACCACAACTTGCTCTGCGAGGTTAAGTTCCAATCATTCCCTTCTCTGTTGTGTGCCAAGACCCAGGGCTGTGCTTAGGTCTGAGCCCCCAGTGCCGTGGCCACATGCCCTCCTCCTTGTACCCTGATCGCCCGGGAGCCCAGCGCACGTGCCTGGGCTCTGGCAAAGCGGCGATCAGACCCTAACCAGGGCAGTGAGAAGCCTGCCGACAGTCAGTCGTGTGTCAGGATTTTTGAGTCAGCTTCAACTGGTCTTGCCAGCGTGGTAGATCTCGTATCCTCGGCCGTAGTGCTTATCTTAAGTGGAGCATGCAAGCTTTATTTAGTCAATTAAGGTCTGCTTTGTCTGGGGGGGCTTTTCTACAGGAAGCTCCTAGAAAATAAGGAAACTGAAGATGAATGGCAACGTCCCACCACCTGACATGACTTGACCATGCTAACGGAACGGTGCATAGACCGGTCCACGAATGTCATTATGACAGCAACAGAAGGACTCTGAAGGTGCACAGGAACTTGGGTAGCCAACTTAGAAGAGGCTGGAAGGGACCACAAGCAGGTCTCTTTGGAGCGGTGTGTGGCAGAGACAGGTATGTGAAAACTCAGCATCACCGTGTATTTTAAATCAATCCATGGCCAGCAGGAAAACATGGTCTTCTCAGTCTTTAAGTGTTTAACGGGTACACAGTATTTTTTTTTTTAAGTTGCTCTAAAAGAAGCATTAAAGAACAGTTAAGAACACCTTGAAATTTACAAAGACCAGAGATGGTCTTGGTCTTTCCTCCTTACAGCAGGTGGAAATGAGCCCTTAGCAAAAGATCTAACTCCAGTCCCACAACACACAGGTGGGCTCTGGCCACTGACTGTGGGAGGTGAGCCCAACACAGAGTAGGGCACGCTGGGCTGACAGCTGTCCCAGGACCATCTAAAGATGGGTGGTATGCCTGGTGTCCTCTGCGGCTCTGTGCTAAGAAGAGACTTGGAACATGTGTCTTTGTTACACCCTGACTGGCACAATGTCTTGTGCTCCAGGAAATGACCAACTGGCAAATTCTGCTGAGCCCTCAGTAGTCAGTGGGAAACTCTGACTTCATTCACACGGCTTGAGAAACTGTGGAATCCTCAACTGGCATTCAAATGCAAAATGTCCGAGGGCTAGGGACTAGCTCTCCATCACAGTCTGTTAGGCTGAGACACACAGGAAAAGGATGTATGGCCAATTCGGTGCGAGTCCTTGAATATGCAATGCGCCAAGTAAAGCAAAATCACGGAAAAAACCAAGGAAAGCAGCTCCTTCTAAACATGCGCCATGAAATCATCCCTGAATAAAATCTGCAAGCGGAAATATAGAGAAGGGACGAAGACGACAGCTAAAACAATTCCTTTCCAGTGTAATACACCCAACACGGAGGGAGGATGAGGCTGGCTTTCTAAGAGCTCTGGGCTGGACAGCGATGACCCCCCAGCTGCCCAAGGCCAGAGCTTAGAAATCCCAGTTTTACAGCAAATGCACAACAAGGTGCGAAGAAGATCACAAACCAACTCTCTGAAGAAATGCCCACTCTTGGGCGCAGATAATTAAACTATGAAGTCCTACGGAACATGTTGATTTTTTCACTTCCCAAAAATACTTCACAAATCTGTGGTCACCCTAAGCAGCCCTCTCCCCCTCCACACCTCTACCCCAGTGTAAGACACACGTCCTTTCTTCAGATGTGCCCACAGTACAGTGCCAGCAACTCATGCCACCAGGAAGGGGAGTCCTGCTGCCACCATCTACCTGCTGGAAATAACAGCAATGTTTTCGTATCAGACTCTTCAGTGTTTCCTTTTAGGCCAAATCCATTCCAGCCATGGAACCCTCTATTAACTATCAAATAAAGCAAAATTATTAAGATTAACTGGAGCAAAGAGACAAAATTTTATTAGGCACTTTGGTCCTTTGAAGTTTTCAGGGTTCTTCAAAAAGCACTGGATGAATAAGAGGCCAAGTGAATGAACTTCATACATGTATAATCACTCAGAGAGTTTACCTTCATTGTACTTTAATTTTGCATAACCTCACCCTTGAACTGTATAAATGGGATACGGTACAAAATGAGCGATGTGTTCAGGTGACACTGCAGACAAAAAGGGATGCAGAGTACATTCTAGAGCATCAACCACCTGGGAGGCGTTTTTAGTAAAGTCTATGAAAATGATGGCATTTTCTGGTTCTTTAACCTTGAAAAGGACTCGGTTCAAGAACATCCTGTTGCCGTGGAACTTCCAGAATACAGACGGGGTACAAACAGGTACACAGTTAAATTGCCACAGGCAGGCAGCTTGAAGAGCTGAGAAACAGGTGCGCATTGTTGCTGGGGCTAAGCTCCGAGATGCTATGTCAGGCATATGCCATGGCCGGAGACCAGACGCCGATCTGGAACTACCGTGACGGATTATTTAGTTCACTCATTAAAGTCGCTCTTTAAAACTGTGACCCTTCCTTCCTACAGTCAATTATTCCTATCAGCCTTGGCTGATGACCCTCTCTACATCCTTCTTCAGCCATGACTTAAGGCGCACCTGCACCAAGGACTCTGCTCATCAACTGTGCAGTGACCACAGCACCTTGGCGTCCTCAGGACTCTCCGAGATGGCAGTCACTCCCCAGAATTCATTCTAACGCTTTCACTCCTCAGAATTCATACTAATGCTTTGCCTGAAACACCAGAGTTTTCAGACACTCAAAGTTACAGCCAAGAAAGCCTAGAGCCGAGCAGCTCGTCACTCTGAAGGGACAAGATTTGGAAGTTATTTTGCAGCAATTCTATCTGATGTTGCCTGTGTCACATGGGATTCACCCGGAGGCATCATCCAGGAGCAGGGATTCCGAGAACACACATCAGCTCAGGTTACCTGAGTAACTTGGAAAGTCTGAAAAGTCCGTATGACAAATTTAACCACTGCCCTGTGTTTTTAATGTGTCACTGAGAACAGTTCTTAATGCGGGGGGGACACAGAATAAAACGGTGAAGTCACCTCCACCCTAGATGAATTCTTCTGCCATTACCAGGGGGAACAAAGGCTACTGACACACCCGCCTGAGGGACCTGCCAGGCTCTGCGCCCCCATGCAAGGCTCTCAGCGCTCCCTGCTCTCCTTTCCTCGGAATCTGGCCCATTTCTTATCCTCTGTCTGGAGAGGGGAATGCGTGGGGAGACATAAGGCATCTTAAAAGGAGTACGGTGTCGTGTGTTTCTTTTAACCAATGAGGCAACTTTTTCAAATTAAAACACGGTAAAAGAAACCATGAATAATAAAAGCATGCTCGATTATTGTAACTATGCTCCAGTCACAGAAATATTAAACAAGACTGCAGTGTGGTTTCAACGAACTCGGTGATCCAACAACCTTAACCATGAGCAGCGATGATCTATGGTCCAGAAATAACACAAAGTGACATTGAGATATGACCCAAGATATGAAGGAAGCGTGAAAACATTTCATCTTTTCGTAACAGGGTACTTTTGAGAGCGTTTTCATGGTTTCAAATTCAATTCACAACCGGCCCTATCAAAGAAACGGTACCACTCGGTGAGTCCTAGATCTGACACAAAAGCTGGAATTTCAGGTCTGAGGCAGTCAAAGCAGTGTGACCCTTCTTCATGCCTCCAACTGAACCAACAGCTACTTCCTTTAAACGCTTATGTCAAAATTCTACAGGAAAAAAGGAAAAAATAGCCATTGGGCAAGAATACTGTGTTCTTCCAACCGTCTTCCCCCCCGCACTGGTCAGCTCGGACTTCCTCTGGCCCTGGAAGACTCAGCTTACCTGAAGTCCTTCAGCTCCTGCTTGCCACCGCTGTCCTCCCTCCTGCTGTCCCCCGGGTCAGCAGCGGCTGCCAGCTGGAGGCTTCGGGTGACCGGCCCCCCACTCCGTTCTCTAGATTTTACATTGAACCGGTCTGTTCTTTTCTTACTGGCCAAAGCGGACTTGCTCTGCAGGACGGCTTTGCTCTTCTGCACCCGCACGTGTAGGCCGCGGGCCGTCTTGCTCGCGAGTGGAGCAGAATGATTCTTGGCCACAGCTTTGGGCTTCTTCCCCTCAACGTGAGTTATTTTGGCCATTCTGATCGGGCTCGAGTTCCTTAAGGAGGAGCTTGGCTTTTTGGACTTGACCGAAGCCGCGAATTTGACATTCTGCTTGGACCTGAAGGACGAGGAGGGCAGCGGGACCGGTGCGGGGCCCGAGCTGCGTGCTCTGGTCTTGCCCAGAGGAGCCTGTGTGCTCTGCATCTTAATCTCCGCGTCCGCCGTCCGTCGACGGTGGCTGCTGCTGTTTTTGTCGCTACTTGCAGGTGAGGAGTGCCCGCCTTTCTTGGATGAGTGGGAAACTTTTTTTTTGGAAGGAGAGAGCGGTTTTTTGGGACAGCTGAAGGCAGCGTGTTTGTTCAGGCTCCCGATGTACGTGAACTCCCTGTTACAGTACGGGCAGATGTGCGAGGACGACTCACAGGCGGTTTTGAAGTCGGCCTTCTGCTTCGCAGATTTGTTTTTCTGAAGGATTGCTTTCTGGACCAGCTGGTTTTTTTTCTTCAATGCGTTTAGTTTGAGCTTGTTTGAGGACATTTTGCTGAGCTCGACGCTAAAGTTCAGTCTTTTGGGCTGTCCCATTCGTCTGAAGGCGTTCTTCCCGGAGTTATCGAGAACCACCACACCGTTTTTGGGCTGGACAGTCTGCTTCAAGGGCACTGGGTTTTTCTTAGGGGTATACCTCTTCTTGTCACTGGCCGAAGCACACGCCAGGATGTGTCTATGCAACTCCGGCATGTTGTCAACACCCTTCCCGCACTTTGTGCAGCGGATGGCAGTGGTGAACGTCTGTGGAATATTGTGTGTAGTGAAATTTGTGGCCGTCACACCGATGCCCATGGGGTTCCGGTGATGGTACTGAAATGGGGGTGGTTTAAAGCTCGGGTAATGCTGATTGAGCCCCAGTCGGACATCCGGGTCTTTCGTCTTTATGCCAGAAGCCATTATTTTTATGGTTGTGTAAAGCTCTTCGGAGGAATCATTCAGCTCTTCTTCTTCTTTTGACGCCTCTAAAGGATCTTCTGGCAAACTCTGCATGTGCTCTCGATGGGCCTTGCTGGGATCGGTGAAATTCTGGGGCCTCAGGGTGCCGCTTTCAAACTCATGGTGGGTGCACACCTTGTCTGGGTGGAGATCTCGCTGGTGCTGCTGCAAATTGCACAGAAAAGCAAATTCTTTTTTACAAACTGAACACACAAAGATATTCCCAACGCCATGAAGCAAAAAGCGATGTTCTGACAGATCAGTTTTAGCCTTAAAGAGCTGCACACAAAATTCACATTTGAAGGGCCATTCTTCAGCATGGACAGATAAATGTTTGGTTAGATCTTTAATGGAAAGAAAAGGTGATTCACAGACATTGCAGACGAAGTTTTTGTTGAACGTTTCCTGAACAACCTCCTGTTCAACTGCAGACTGGGCTTCTTCCCTGGGTTTCGGATCGTCATTCTCTAGTTCCTCCTGCTTGAAGGTTATCATGGGGAGAGAAGCTTCCAGATTATCCCCAGAGGAAACAACAGAGGATACTGCTGAGAGTGGTGGCGGCGAGGGGGAAGAGGAGGAAGACGAAGAGGAGAAGGAAGAGGAGGAAGACGACGAGGAAGACGACGAGGAAAGGGTGGGGGGTCCGGGCGAGGCAGCAGACGTGAGCGGCTCCACAGAAGGGATGGGAGACGGTGACGGAGACACTGTAGGGGAGAGAATGGGAAGCGGGGACTGCACGGTGGCATTCGAGAGAGGAGAGGGACACGGACGGGGAGAAGGCCCGGAAGCGGGGACCGGAAGAGGGGCAGTAGGAAGGAGCGGAGGCGGCGGCGTGGCAACAGTCAACAGCGGAGGACAGGCCGGCGGGGGAGAGGGGTGCGTGGGGGTCAGGAGAGGAGGCAGCTGCCCAGAAGAAAGGGGAGAGGTCTGCGGGGCAGGTGAGGAAGGAGAGACATCGGGTGGGGACTCAGCCACAGGGGCCGGTAAACTGGAATCCGGGCCAAGGCCAGTGTCTGGCTGGGGATCCAGGGACTGACAAGGACTCGGGCTCCGCGTCACATCCGCAGCGCTCTCTACGGGTAAATCGAGGCCATTGTACTCATTGAGAAGAACCTTCTGCAGCATGCACGTGGTTGGTTTCTTTTTCTTCACAGCACTGCAGGCTTGCTGCACCAGATGGTTTCCGTTGAACTCCTTGCCTTCCGAGTCGCCACACGGCTTCTTATGCACGCTGAGATCCAATACAGATTCCCACTGGACGGGAGTCTTGCCTGTGCCCTCAGCCTTCTGTTTGACACCGCTGGATAAATCCAGAGGCTGCTGGTTGCACACATTGCTGAAAGTAGAACTGGCTGCCCACTCCTTGGATACTGGATATTCGTCAAAGCACGGCGGGCTCACGGCTTCTCTCTCCTCTCTCCCAGATAAACTCCACGCCGGTGAGTTGCTGTGGCTTTCTAATTTGGGCTTTTTGGAACCTAGAACTCCATCAGTCCACGCTGCTTTGCCATCACTCTGCTTTGCAAAGTCTCGAAGGGCGGGACTGTGCTGCGGGGAACTGGGAGGAGAACTGGTCCGCCGCTTAAACCTGCTCGAGGTCACGGGGAGCATCGACGCGGGAGCAGACACACAAACAGGCCCTAACTTCGGGATTTCAGTCGTGGAAATGCCTGTAGGAGGAGTTAGCTTGTCCTGGGTCTGAAGAAGTTGTTTGAGCTTCGATGACAAGTACACGCTTTTCTCTTTGTGGAAAGACACGGCCTCTGACGTGGCTATGGTGAGAGGCAATAAGGAACACGAGGGCACCGAGGGGTCAGGCTCCGTCTCAGCTTTGATTTTAGGTAGTGTGGGAGGACTCGCGGTTCTCCGTTTCTTGGACTCACTGTTTGTGCTGCTGGAAGGCTCTTTAGGAAGATCATCTGCTAGGGAGGCCTGTGCAGTCTTGACGTTTTGGGTGATCTCCACCGTGACCGGAGTAAGCAGACAATTTATCCCGTACAAGTCCGCCGAGGCTGACTCCATCTCGATGACGTCACAGTTACTCGTGCTGCTGCTGGTCTGAATTTTGCCATCAATATAGAACTTCAGGTTTTCCGAGATATTGCTGGAGATATCCATGATGTACACGTCATCTGCCTCCCCATCCTCCTCGGGCTCTGTGCTGGGCACGTAGACACTCGGGGCGGGTGGGGTGGGCTCCGCGGGAGGGCGCGGCTCCTCCAGGAGGCCCCCTTTCCGCCGCACGCCCTTGGGAATCAGGTGACGCTCGTGCACCCTGCGCTGATGCCGTCTCATATTTGTGTGCGTCCCAAAAACCTTCTTACAGTATTTGCACGGATGAAGCTCCTTGACTTCCCCATTTTCTTCTCCAAAAGAAGACTGGATGGTCTCTTGGGGGGCCTTCTCTGGATGCGCGAGCAGCGAGTCCTGCCCGAGCCCGGACGGCGGCGAGTCATCCTTCGCGGCAGCCCCGTCCCCAGGCGCCCTGCCGTCGGCCAGCTCTTCGGGCGGCTGCAGCGGGACACTGGGCTTCCGCTTCAGCCCCGCCTCGTGGCGCCGCTCGTGCCGCCTCCGGTTGATCTGCGTGCCGAACGCCTTCCCGCAGTACTTGCACTTGAAAGCATGATTGACCGTGGATATGTGAATGTGCATGTGCCGTTCGAGCCCCTGTTTGGTCGTGAACTTCCTCTCACAATGCTGACACGGAAACAGAAATGTCTCGAACAGATCGCCGTTGGCCTCTTCTTTAGTTTTGGGAGTTCTGGGAACAGGTGAAACCTCCAGAGAGCCCGCAAGCGTTTCTTTTGAAACATTTTTTGGTTCTTCTAATAAATCTTCTGGCTTCTCATCACATCGTATTTCTGGCTCTTTCGCAGAGCTTTCATTTGGCATGTCTGCTTCCTCCTCCCCCTCTTCCTCCAGCTCGTCCTCCTCATCTTCTTCCTCTTCCTCCTCTTCCTCCAAATCATTCCCCTCACAGTTCGTGGCTTCTGGCTTCTCGTCTGGTTCTGTGTGGGGCTCACAGGTGGCGGGGGGAGCTACCAACTCTGGAAGCACATCCTGACTGACCGCCTCCTGCAGAACGGCGGTCTGCTCCGCTGCTGAGACTGAGGGCTTCTCGTCCTCTTCTTTGGGACCTAGAAGGCACAGGGAAGCAGAAGCATGGGTGTGAGGACGAAAACTAGCCACTTGAGGATCAGTTCTTAGTATTCAAACAATTCCTCTTATCACTCTTGGGAATCAGGTGACGATTCCCGAAGATGGGTGTGGGAGACTATGACCAGCAACCGAACGCTCTAGCTCCTCGTGTATGAAGCTACAGTGGACAGGAATCCATTCTGTTCATTTACTCAACAAACATTCACAGACCCCCTGCCACGTACCAGGCAACACGCTGTGTGGTGAGGATACGTGTACGAACACAGTGTGCCCACGTGGAGCTCCAAGTCTCTTCTGTGTTCAGTCACACATATGTAAATTCCATTTTGTTGACGGAAAGTGTTATTATTTAAAACTGTGCTGGAGGGGAGCCCGGGTGGTTCAGTCAGTTAAGCGTCTGCCTTAGGCTCAGGTCATGATCCCAATGTTCTAGGGTCGAGTCCTACACTGGGCTCCCTACTGGTCCCTCTCCCTCTGCCCCTCCTCATGCTTGTTCTATCTCACATGTACCCTCTCTCTCAAATAAATAAAACCTCTAAAAAAACAAACAAACAAAAAAAAACACTGGCATCTGATACTGACACAGTACGGGATCCGGATCCAGTATGCAATGATACCAGATATATCAGGAGTCTGGTCGTGAACTCTAATTCCTCTTGATTCCTAACTGAAACTAGGAAACTGTAAATCACATCACCAGGTTAGGTTCTTCATAGGTTGTCTGGAACAGAATGATTCTCTCCCTCCTTCCCAACCAAAACTATATATTTAGAAGCTAAGACATTTCCCAAGACTAATCAAATTATTAAAAACTCAGGAGCTGTGGAGAAAAGGAACCCTCATGCACTGTTGGTGGGAATGCAAACTGGTAGAGCCGCTATGCAAGACAGTACTGGAGGTTCCTCAAAAAAGTAAAAAAATAGGGACGCCTGGGTGGCTCAGTTGGTTAAGCAGCTGCCTTCGGCTCAGGTCATGATCCCAGCGTCCTGGGATCGAGTCCCACATCGGGCTCCTTGCTCATCAGGGAGCCTGCTTCTCCCTCTGCCTCTGCCTGCCGTTCTGTCTGCCTGTGCTTGCTCTCTCTCCCTCTCTCTCTCTCTGACAAATAAATAAATAAAATCTTTAAAAAAAAAAAAAAGTAAAAAAATAGAACTACCCTACGATCTAGTAGCTGCACTACCGGGTTTTTACCCCCCAAAATACAAAAACACTAATTCAAAAGGATATATGCACCCCTATGTTTACTGCAGCATTATTTACAACAGCCAAGCTGTGGAAGCAGCCCAAGTGCCCACCGACAGTTGAATGGATAAAGACGATGTGGTGCGCGCGCACATACGTGAATATTACTCAACCGTAAAAAAGTATAAGATCTTGCCATTTGCAACAACATGGATGGAGCGAGAGAGTCTAGTGCTCAGCAAAGTTGGTCAGTCAGAGAAAGATGAATACCATATGATCTCACTCAAGTGTGGAATTTTAAAAAGAAAACAAATGAGCAAAGGGGAAAACAGAAAAAGACAAACCAAATAACGGACATCTCTTAACTACCGAGAACAAACTGGTGGTTACGGGGGGTTGGGGGGGCCACAGGTGAAACAGGAGATGGGATTCAGTGCAGTGTAGTGATTCAGTAGTTCTGTACAGGCCTCTGCTCATGATGGGAAGTGTCACACTGGAGGTTAACTGTATGTTAACTATATGAAACCAGTGTCATACTGGATGCTAACGACACTGGAATTAAAGTAAAAACTTAATAAAAAGAAAAAAGAAGAAACCCACCTGAGCCCAGACAGGTGGTCAGGGAGGGACTCACTAGTAAGAGGACAGCGGAGCAGAAGTCTAAAGAAGATGAGTTACGCAAATATCTGGGGGAGGGAAGCCCTCCAGACAGAGGAAACAGCGGATGCACAAGCTCTGAGTCAACAGGTTAGATGTGTTCAAACAAACAAACAAACAAACAAACAAAAACAACCAGCAAGAAGTCAAAAGGTCTGGAGTGAGAAGGAACTGAGCGATTAAAAAAAACTCTAGGTGGACCAGGATGAAGGCAGGGAGAGGTGGTGGGAAGTGGTCAGACACTGGACAGATGTATTTTGTTTTGTTTTGTTTTTAAGATTTTATTTGACAGACAGAGATCACAAGTAGGCAGAGAGGCAGGTGGGGGGCGGGGGGGAGCAGACGCCCCGCCGAGCAGAGAGCCCGATGTGGTCCTCAATCCCAGGACCCTGAGACCATGACCCGAGCCAAAGGCAGAGGCTTAACCCACTGAGCCACCCAGGCACCCCTGGACAGATGTATTTTGAAGATGAAAGGCTAACAAGATTGCTGACTGGCTGTGGGGGGGGGGGGGGGGGAGGGAGGGAGGGAGAGAGGGAGGAGCCAAGGAGGGTTCCACAGCTACTGGAATAATCCTACTTACTGAAAAGACTGAAGGAAAGTAGGTCTAGGCAACGCCCCGCCCCACCCCCGCTCTGTGAGTGTGTGTGTTGAGGGGGAATCAAGAGTTACTTTGGAGACACAAACACACTGACACACACACCTGAGTAAAGATATTATTAAGTCATCTGTTTTGTAGGACTTAAGTTCAACAAAGAGGCTGAGCCCAGACTGTACAAATTCTCAAACTGTAAGTGGTATTTGGAACGAGGACTGCACGCGGCCACCTGAAGAATGAATGCAGACAGAAGAGGGGTGGGAAAATGGTCCCCCAGAGGACTCCAGTACTTACAGAAGAATGGCCAGTGAGGTTATCTGGAGAGCCGAGAAGAGTAAAGAAAGTTCCAAAAGGAGGGAGCAATCAGCTGTGTCCGGAACTACAAATGGTTTGGCCAAGAAGAGGACAGGGCTCAACATCCAATTTACCAAGGTGGAGGTGTGGTGGCGGTGACAACAGTGGGGACAAATGCCTAATGGAATTCCTAAGAGAAGGGACAGGGCTGGGAGACAGGGAGACTATAGTGAAGCTATCAAGGAAAGCAGAGAAGTGGAGAAGTGGCTGGGAAGAATCACAGGAACAGCAAGGGACTCGAAGCCAGGTCCTGTCACAAGCCCATTTAATGCTGACAGCGCTGCTGTCTGTACAGTCCCACCCGAGTCCCTGCTGAATTAGGCCCCTTTTAAGAAAACGGAAAACGTGTTAAGAAAAGCTTTGTAAAGGACGCAGAGCCACTCTGACCGCTGGCTCCCCGCTCACTGCGCCGGTATTTACTACATGCCTGTACTGGGTGCACGTGACTGTCCAGACCCTTATCCTCACAGAGCTTCACCTTCAGCCTCGGACAAGTAGGCAGGCACCAAGACTGTCATGAATGACCAGCCATGCTTTGGGATTAGTACGGGCTGCTACGGAAGCATGGAGAAGCACCCAACAACCACTTCGCTCATCAGGGAAGGAATGCATCTTAGACAAAGGACTGAGCCGACTGAACCTGGAGGTCAAGGACAGAAAAGGAAAAGCAAACAGGAGGAATCAAAACATGTCACACACTGGAAATTAGTGTGGACTTACTTGGGGGCAGTGGGGCTCCATGAAGGCATTTTAAAGCAACAGAGCGTCATATGGGAGACTTGGCAGCAAGATGGCGTATGGGATTGGGAGGAGGACAGTCCTGAAGGCTGGAGACTAATTCCAAGGAGGGGGTACTAGAAGGGAGAGACTAAACGATGGAAATGGAAGGAAGCACTGGACAGAGGAAAGAGCAGCCAGACTGTCAAGAGAAGACACCTGTCAACAGACCCGGTGACCACCCTGATGTGGGGGGAGGGGCTAAAAAGGCCAACCATTCCCAGCTCGGCAAACACCAGGTATTCGTGAGGAGCTCACATGCTCAGCCCTGCCCCCCCGCCCCGGGGAATTCAGTCTTACTTTTACCTGTCCACTACCTCTCTCCCAACAGACCAGCCTTCTCTCCCCGAAAACAAACTTCATTAATCCCACGATTTCCCCACAGACAGGGACACCAGTCATTTGATGGTGGCAGGAGCTAACTCCCTTTCCACATACATTTTCAACAAAGACTCAGCATCTTGCTAAAAAAAAAAAAATCAAAATGAGACAACAGAAAATGAAAATAACATCTCTAAGGCTTAGTAATTTTAGAGTCCATTTTTATCCAAAATCTGTGGTTTTTGTTACAAGGGGGGAAAAAAATTCTTTCCCTTTGATTGGTAAACAGTCCCAGACTTAAAACTGTCCAAAGTTTTACGGAACAAAACACTCAGAGCTCTATTAATTAACTAGTAAGGCCCACACCAACGTGTATCCACACACCCGATGAGGTCTGCTGAATTTTAAAAATAAAGGAAGGTTTGGGGAACACAAAGAAGAGTCAGGACTGTTTGCTCAGTACACAGACTGCTTGCTGAGGACAATGCGGAACATTCAGGAGAAGCTGAGGAACCAATCACACTTGGACCAGCTACTCCACAAACAGGTTAAGTATTAGGTACTTTTCTTCCTCATAGGACCAAACATCGTGTCAGGAATAAATAACCTGTCTTCAAATTACTGAAGGCGAGAGGGGGCTGTTGGATTTTCTTTAATTCTGCCACAAAAGGCACTAAGGTTCTTTAGTATCTGTGCTGTCATTCAAACAAAAGTCTTAATTAGCAAATCTGCTATCAGCACACAGAACTTGGTGTCACAAGGCTCTAGGAAATCAACCTGTCTGTTCTTGCTTCATAAAATGCCACAGGATATAATCCTTTACGAATGTCATCGCAAACAGTGCTAATAAAGTGGTTTGTTAAAAGGTATCCAAATACTCTGGTTTCTCTTCAGATCACATCAATTTTTCGCCCTTTTTAAAAGGCATCCAAAATACTTTGTTGGGTTTTTTCCTCTACAAATATTTCTTGGAAGAGTCACAAGCCTATACTTTGAAATTTGCCTGTTTGGGTCACTACAGACACTTCTTAGAAAGCTCCAGTCTGCACATATTTGCCACATAACAAATTATGACAGGCCTCCTTCATTTCTATTATCAAAGGTCTCAATATGGTCGCTCAGCTGCAAGGAGCACAGAGCAATCTGCCTTCCTGATGAATTTGCAATCCATGCCTCTCTCTCTGAATTCTCACCTCGTGGAGGGCCTAGAATATCAATCCTCAGAAGGGATGGTAAGAAAATCTGGTATGGAGAAACACGAAGAAATAAAATAGGAATTTAATTTCTAACAAAAAACAAGGGGTGTGATCCCGGGGTCCTAGGATGAGCCCCACAGCTCCTTCTGACCCCCTCCACCCCCACTCATCCTCCCTCTTTCTCTCTCAAATAAATCTTAAAACACACACACACACACACACACACACACACACACACAAACAAGAATACTCTTCACTCCGTACACTTTTCATGCTGATATATAAAATCAAAGGTGTATGATATTTCAAGTGAGTTTTTAACTGAAGTGCAAACATAACAATATAAGGATATAAATCATAAGCATACAGCTAGATAAAATACTTTGGAGTAAACACACTGACACGCCCCCACGCAGCTCAGGGATGGACTAGTGCCAGTGTCCCCGAAGCCTTCTCAAGCCCCTGCCAGTCTCACTTCAATCACCAGAGATTTGTTTTTGATGGTTCTGAACTTTAAAAATTATTTATAAGTGTCATCATATAGTATATGTTTCATTTCATTTTAACCAGGGAATAATTCCGTTTTCAACAAAGAAGGTCTTTAGTAATATTTTTAAGGGGAGGTAGGATGTGGAAAGCTCAGTTCGCCATATTAAATTCAGGGAGCCTTTTGCTGTTAACCCTTTCCAGTTCTTGGGTGAAGTCTCAGAAGGGCATCCCAAGGAGATTTACAATAACTTCTCATACATACCGAAATCATACAAGGCCAACTTCCAAGCTTACCTTCTGCAGAATCTCTCATATTTGCAGAAGCAGAATCTGGCTCACTTGTCTTCAGCTGTAGGTCTTCGGTTTTGTTTGCTTTGTTTTTACTTTCCTGGGATTTTTTCTTCCCTAAAACACAACATTTATTTATTTACTTATTTACGCACTCACTATCAACCTGAATTCTCGAAAAAGACAATTACTAATCCAACGACAGCAAATGGCAGATTTCTAGGCGATCGTATCAGATTTCTAAAGAAAGGAACAGACGATGAATCAGAATACTTTTAAGTCGTGTCAGAGAAAAAAAAAGAAACCCATAATCCTGTATTCTTGGGCATGAGTTCCCCTACCAAACTAACATATCATCTATTCCAGAAAAGTTAAAAATATTGATGTTGGAGGAAAATGAGAGTGATAACTAACATCGAGTTTCAATACCACACAAATAAGGACTGGCAAAAGTCTGTGAGAAGCACACCGGGGAAAAACAAGACAATAGAACCTGAGCTCCTTTTAGTTAAGACATGTGTATCCGTAACTGTGGAGCAAAACGGCAGGAGGAGGCTCCGCTGAACTGCCAAGGACGCACGCCTATGCGCAGAGGCTCCAATACCAAATGCAGAGTAATTAGGAATAACTAACTCCATGTCGAGCGGGCATGAATCCTGAGGGTGCCCATGGACTGGACTCCAGGTCCAGTACAATTCAGGATTCCCTCAACAACGGGAAGAATGGAATTCAGGAAACACTAACTGGATTCCCACCACTACCACAGCTCAGGAGGTAAGATTAAAATGCAATGCACTTCTGACAAGCTAGAACAAGGAGCTCAGGTCACCAAGATACTCAATACGGATAAGCAATTCTCCAGAAAAGTACCAGTACCGAAGGTTTGGAAGCTCAGTCTCTTTGGGATTTAACCAGAATCTGTGGCCCTTCTTTGGTATTTTTTAAATTCCGAGTTTCTTTGTCCTGGTAGCTCTTGCTTTTCAGTTTTCAGATTCAGAACAGGTTCTTCTTCATCCTCCCCAAACACTCCTTCCCTCTCCTTCTGCAATGCGGGGCGGTCCTTCCTCTTTCAGAACAAGGTTCGTGACACCTTTTTGTCTGAACTGGCAAAATGAGGAGTGGAAACTACTCACTGCTCCTGGAAAAGGATCACTACGGAGGAGCAGCATTAACTAAACTATAGACGACACATGAAAATGAGGTGAGAGATACAAATAACACTGAAAAGTTCAGAAAATGGAAACATCCATCATAATATGAATCAAATAATCCTAAAAAACACCATCAAATTTTGATAAATAATTAAGAGATGAAACGGGGGGGGGACAATATACTCAATAATTGGCCAATACTGTTTTAAATCCCTAATTCTTTGGTCCATGAAAAAAAAAAAATGCTTTGATGCTTTCTGCCAAGACATAAGGTAACAGTCTGTGCAAATAAATTCCTGGTAACACCTCCATCCCTCATTTCCAAAGGCACCTAAAATGGGACTCAGGACCCAAGCAAGCACTTCCCTGAAACCACATTCTGGTGGGAACAGAAGCCAAGAGCCTGCAGGGAAGGATTATAAAGCAATCTCCCTCTATAAAGGGCAAGGACACAAACGACACCGACACCGCTCCACAGCAGAAGATGTAAGCTCCTCTTGCAACTCTTTCTCCCTTGGTCAACTGAAGGGCACGAAGCCCGAATGTGATGACGACAAGGCTCCTGAGGAATCCGGCTGTGCTTCAGGACGCCTACATTCCACCTACTTCCAGACAATTTTCTTATCCTCCTGACAAGAGACGCCCTTCCCCGTGTGCGATGCCCAGTCCCTATCAGATCACTGGGCGCAAACAACACAGGTAGAAAGGATTCCCGGCTACTAAGACAGTTCCTCTAACGCCACAGTTCCTGTCTGCTGAGATCCCTGGGAGGACTCCTGAGCCGCAGGGTGCTTAATTTGAAAGTTAGATTCAGGAAAGTTTTTCCCCTGAATCACTAACACAAAAGTATTTTAAGACATCACATACCACCTCATGTACCCCAAAGTGCCCAAGGAATGACCCTTTCTTACCACCTACTCTCTACTTTGCACAGGCCTGAGTTTTTGGAGTAAGTAAAGGTGGAGGTACAGTGTACACTTTGCCTGGTACACAGGAAGCTTAGGGACATTAAAACAAGTCACACTGAAATTTAACAGAAAAACAGATGTCCTTTATTGTAATAGAATCCCTTAAAAAAGCAATTCAGAGATTTTCTGCAGCCTCTCAAGAGCTATACAAAGCTGGTTAGCAGGTCATGCAAAAAAACTGGCCTGTACGTAAACAAGAGTATTAAATACGTGACGTTCCTAGATTTATAATACAACAGCACAACCTTAATAATATCACTCACTAATACATACTCAGACTGAAATCACACGACTATCTAAAAGCCAAAAGTACCACTTTAAGTTTCATTCCTGGCCTGAAAGAATATTAAAACATCTAGCTGATAATGTCCATGTCTGCTTCTGGCCTCCGCAAACCTAATCAGCAAGAAGTGCCCCCCGCCCCCCTCCAGCTGTCCTCTTTAAAAAACAAGACCAGGAAACCTTGATGCCCTGTGAAGAGAAACCACCTGAAGCAGGGACATGTGCATCCTACTGAGAGGGCCACAGGCTGCCTGGGCATCCCACGAATCACACCCTCCCCGGGGGGCTGTCCCATGTACTGGAGGACACTCAGCAGCACCCTGGGCCTCCACCCACTATATGCCAGGAGCACCCCCACTTTTAACTGTGACAAGCCAAAGTCCCCAGACATGGCCAATGTCTGGGATGGGGGTGGGAGGTCTCCCCAGGTTAAGAACCACTGGGCTGAACCAATACAATACAGGTCACCAAACACATAATGGGGCTCTGCAGTCTATATATTTAAGAATTTTAAAAGTATGTGAATACCACTAATAAACCACTTGTAAAAACTAAAGAAAGGGACAATTAAATGTACTCCTGAGTATCTCTGGTGAACACCGACAGACTTAATTTACCATAGAAATAAGCCTATCATAAATCTAATTATCATTTGTTCGTGAGACAGAGATTCCCAGACACATGAAATGATATAATCTTAATCAGAACCATCTGACACTTGAGTTCCTTCCCATTAGGACCGCAGACCAGAGATGAAGGGGCTACCAAAACCACCTGCCCTACCTGCTCTTCTGAGAGAAAAATGAAGGCCAGAGCCCCAGAGGGACCAGCTAACCAGTCTACGAGAGAACAGAAATTAGAGCCCAGGTGTCCCGACTCACACTCAGGCATGCTTTGGTGTCACTCACAAAGCCAAATACTGCCGTAACGGGTGGGAGAACCTGCTACATCTCCTTAAGTAAGTAAATTTCTTTTCCTGGTACTTTGGTTTCTGTTCTACTTGTAATCAAACTAAAAGAGAAAACAAAAATAAGCCTAGAGCCAAAAACCACCTCTAAGGACGCTTACACAAGGGTGCGGGGACTTCTTGGTGTCTGTGAGGCGGGAGGGGCCTCGGGAACGGGTCTGGCAGAGCCCGCTGGGAGCCTGGTAAGCACACGTGTGCACTTACCATTGGGGTCCTGAAGGGTCCTACATAGAAGCTACTGCCAGCTGCGCGCTCCACTTGGTCTAAACAAGAAAGATACAGGAATGAAACACAAGGAAAGTGAAATGGAAACGCCGACAGATCACAATGGAGGACAGGACAAACTTCGTGCATGTTAAGGAAAAGATACACAGTTATGAAGGAAACTGAATGAAGCAGAAGGAAAAGAGCAGTCACCTACTGCATCAGCGTTCTCAGGCGCACACACACACGCGCGCGCACGCAGATAAAAATAAATTAATCTGTAACTGTGTTCTCAGGCGCAGACAGGAGGGCCCGCTCGGTATACTTACTCTCAGGCCCGCGCCACATCCCCGCTGTAAAACAGACGCTCTGACCCCACTTCGCCGAAGGCCCCATCCGCACCTCTCATCCTGCAGAGACCCAAGGACCAGAGACGTGAAGTCATATGCCCAAGGTCACGCGACTAAATCAGCTCTAGAGCCAGAACGCACCCGCAAGGATGATGAGGCTAAAAGTGATCTTGTTACTACGTTTCTTAAGACCAGTAATGACATGGGGCGCCTGGGTGGCTCAGTGGGTTGGGCCGCTGCCTTCGGCTCAGGTCATGATCTCAGGGTCCTGGGATCGAGCCCCGCATTGGGCTCTCTGCTCGGCGGGGAGCCTGCTTCCTCCTCTCTCTCTGCCTGCCTCTCTGCCTGCTTGTGATCTCTGTCAAAAAAAAAAAAAAAATCTAAAAAAAAAAAAAAAAAAAAAAAAAGACCAGTAATGACATAATAAAAACATCATATGCTGTATAAAGCACTTTTTTTTTTTTTTTTAGGATTTTATTTATTAGAGAGAGAGCATGTGCATGAGCAGGAGAGGAGTGGACAGAAAGAAAAAGAGAAACCCAAGCAGACTCCTGGCTGAGCATGGGGCCCCACTTGAGGCTCGATCCCACAACCCTGATATCATGACCTGAGCTGAAACCAAGAGTCAGACACACAACCAACCAGGCCCCCCTGGCGCCCCTACAAAGCACTCTCTATGCACTATCTCACTTGGTTTCAAAGGCAAATGAAAGAAAAAGTGACAGAGACATCCACTGCCATTTATAGAAAAGGCACAAGAATCAAACTGGAGTGCAGATTTTTTTTTCCATTTCAATTTTATCTGATGCCAGAAACACTCGTCAGTCAATAGCACAGAACCTCAACCTAAGCGAATATGATTCACCATTAAACAGTATCAGTAACACTGGGGTTTCTAGTGAAATAGCTACCATGTAGAGAAGTCAACAGTCATAATGACTACTCTTTAAAGATAATGTCTAGCATTATACCTCTGGTGTCTGGGATGCAAGCTGCAAAATCAAAATCGCCTAAAGCATCACAGAAATAGTTTAACTTAGGTCTGGACTGTGTTCTACCAGTCTAATAAAACTGGTCAAACACTAGCAAATTCTAGAGAATAATGTTTCACTTAAAATGTGCAGGCTTCAGAGAAAACAACAAATGCTGGAAGGCGTGTTCAGTTCCATTAAAAATTCATCACAACA